GTGTTTCCCTGACTTCTAGGGAGATGGATCACCTTTTTGTGATTTTAGTAAACTGCCTGTTCATAGTCTTTGTACATTTTTGTGTTGGGTTGTCTTTTTGCTTTATGAGGAGCTTTTTAATATTTTTAAGATACTGTTATTGTGTGGTGGCGCTATATTTATATGGCTTATCACCCATCTTTTTAAGCATTTTTTTGTTTAAGTGGAACAGAGTGGACAAGAGCTTCTCCAAAAGGTAAATAGGCAAACCGTTGAGAGAGGGGGAAAGACAAATGGGATTTTAAAAGAAGTATTTGAAAGACTTCAGCTGAGCAGGAAGTTGTGAATGACAGAGAAAAAAAGAGGGGCAGGGGACCTATGAGAGTCATGCATGGAAAAGAGATGATGGATCAACTAGACCCTGGAACAAGGCACTTCCATCATCCCAGGCATCTTTGTGGCAAGGGAGGGGAGATACCACAGTAAGGATAGTGGTGAGGGTAGGGGAAACACTCTGTCTTTTACTAGAAAATGAATAAAAATGTTTGCCTTGGCTACTTTTGTTATGCTTCTTGCTCTGGTTCCAGCAGCCTGGAGCTCACCTGCCTGCCCCCTCTCCCTTCCTCAGACATCTAGTGCTTATTGTGGACCAGATCTGGGAATGAGGATATAAAAACAACAAAGTTAGACCTCCTCAAGAAGCTTTCTGTCTAGTTGAAGAGTTGGGCCATTACAGTACAGTGCCCTGAGAGAGGCAAGTATGGGATACCCTAAGAGCACAGAGGTGGAGAGTCTTGTCAGGTGAAGGAAAATAGGGAGAAGACACAAGCAAAAAAGACAGCTTGTTCAGGCTCTGAGATATGTCAGAATATAGTTTAAAAAAAAAAAAAAAAACCATTGCCATCGAGTCGATTGTGACTCATAGCAACCCTATAGGACAGAGTAGAACTGCCTTATAGGGTTTCCGAGGAGCACCTGGTGGATTTGAACTGTCAACCTTCTGGTTAGCAACCATAGCTCTTAACCACTAGAGGCGTCAGCAGTCGTGAATGGGTACATCAACTTAAGAATTTTGAGCTTTATCCTAAAAATGATGGGGCACCATTGAAGGGCATTTAGGAAGTGAGTGCAAAAAGTCTTGAATACAAATCAAATATTTCTTCATCAAAATCTCTCCTTACTTTCAAGTAATAGTTAGACAGATTAATGAGGGCCATTGATTTTCAGTTCTTAAGAAAAATATTTCACAATGTTTCCTTTTGCTGGTTAGAGTGAATCACTCCCTGTTGTTCTATTTCTGCAAAGCCCCCCATGTGCCCAGAAGGAGACTTTGCTGAGGAGCACAAGCATTAATACATAGTGAAGTGTAACCTCTTCTAGCTACTGACTTCCAGAACAGCTTCAGGACTTGTGTAGAAGTGGTCATAATCACAGACTGTAGAACTAATGAGCAAAGCAGTCTACTCCTGGAGAAGAAAACAGTGGAAGCAGAAGTAGAGTTTTTGACTGACACAAAACCTTTCAGGTTTTCCCCTCTTGATTTCCTGAGTGAGCCTTTCCTAGGAGAGTCTCTTATCGTCCTGCTATTTGTAAATGAACTTGGATATCTCTTTTTCGTTATCAACATTGGAACAGTGACTGGATAGTGAATTTCACGTGAGGTGGAGCTGGAAGAGGTTAACTAGATAGAAGGGGACATTGATATACCTAGGAATAATAGGCCCAAAGTAAAGCCTCACCTCGCCCCACGCCCAGGACTTCTAATCTAGTTCCAGCTCTGAGGCATCATGTTGAAAAAAGTAGAGTTGCTCCTCATAGCTTCCTTCATGGTGATAGTTTTGGCCCACATTCCTCAGCTGGAGCTACTGACTCCTTCTCTGATTCCACCGTAGAGGGTGGTTCTATCCTCAGGATACTTCAGATGACTTAGAAGTTGAAAACCCTTTTGCAGTGTGAACCTACTGGAACAGTCCACAGGATTTTCTTCAAAAAAGTATCCGTTTGGCTGTTGGGACCGTGGTCTCGGGGAACATCTAGCTCAATTGGCATAACACAGTTTATAAAGACAATGTTCTACATTCTACCTTGGTGGGTAGCATCTGGGGTCTTAAAAGCCTGTGAGCAGCCATCTAAGATACTCCACTGGTCTCATCCCTTCGGGAGCAAGGGAGAATGAAGAGAACAGGATACAAGGAAAAGATTAGTCCGAAGGATTAATTGTCCACAGCTACCAAGGCCTCCACCGGACTGAGTCCAGTACAGCTAAATGGTGCCCAGCTACCACCACTGACTGCTCTGACCAGGATCACAACAGAGGGTTCTGGACAGAGCTGGAGAAGGATGTAGAACAAAATTCTAACTCACAAAAAAAAAGACCAGATTTACTGGCCTAAAGGAGACTGGAGAAACCCTGAGAGTATGGTCCCCAGACACCCTTTTAGCTCAGTGGTGAAGTCACTTCTGAGGTTCACCGTTCAGCCTGGGAGTGGACAGCCCCATAAAACCAGATGGGACTAATGAGGTACAGCAGTCCAGGGACAAGGGCCAGAAGGCAGAAGGGGACAAGGAAGCTGGTGATAAGGAACCCAAGGTTGAGTAAGGATAGTGTTGATGTGAGGTTGTTAACCATTGTCATAGGGCAACATGTGTACTGTTAAATGAGAAACTATTTTGTTCTGTAAGCCTTCATCTAAAGTGAGAATAGCAGCACAACTGGAAGAGCATAGTCGATGTCAATGAACTGTGCATATAGAAATTTTTGAAATGGTGTATCTTTGACTGTGTATATTTTCACCAAAAAAAAGGTCAAGAAGGGAGAGGGTTGACATGTTGTGGGGTTGTTAACCAATGTCATAAAACAATATGTGTACTAACGTTTCATGAGAAACTATTTGTTCTGTTAGCCTTCATCCGAAGTACAATTAAAAAAAAAAAAAAGTATCCTTTTAAGAGATCTAGCAAAAAGAGTCTTAGAGAATCACATACCAAAAGAACTTGAGAAAAAATGTGGACCTTGCCTTGCCTTCATTTTATAGGTGAGGAAACTGAGATCTAGAGAGAAGGAACTTGTACCAGGGTCACATTAACTAATTAGCAGAGCTGGGACCTAAATCAAACTATATCATATGTAGTTTGGCAAATCTTCTTGTCTCCTTGTAGTGTTACCAAGCTAATATTTCATATACTGTTAACAAAATTTTGTTGGGGCACTTGGCTTTTGAATAAAATAAACATAGGGTCTACAGACAGACATTTGACTAGGTTCCATGAGCCAGGCACTGTGCTAGAGACTTAATTGAAGATACGACAATGGATGACACATGGTCCCTGCCTTAAAGGAGCACTCAGTGGAAGAGAAAAACAGAAGATAATCACAATACAGTGTGGTTGGTGGTATATGGAAGGGACCTGTGAACTATGTGGGCATTGGACGAGCAGCTGTTCAGGAAGGGATTCTGTTAGTCTCCTTCTAGTATCCTCCCTTTCTGTCCTCACTCCACATCCCTCCAGATCCATGCAGATGACCTAAAAGAGCATCTTGCCCGTAATTAGTAAGTTGACGTTGACAGGACCTATGGTGCTTCCTAAATTAGTGTGGGAAGAATTGCCTAATGAGCGATATCTGCTGTTGATTTCCTGAGTAAGCCTTTCCCACAAGAGTCTGTCCTCATTGGGTGTCCCCACAGACAACTCTTGTTTCTGCTTCACCTCTGGCCTGCTGGCACTGTTCTGTTTTATGACTTCATAGCAGCGGTAAGAGCTGATGATGACCTTTCTGAGGCACAGAGGGCTGGGTTTTTATGTCAACGGCCCTTGTAGGCCAGGGGAGTGAGAAATGAAAGAGTTAAGATAAAATCATGTCCTTGGCAAATTGTGGTCTCTGCTTTGTCTTTCAGGAAGTCTCCCACCTTCTCTTGAATCAAGGGTTCCCAGAGACACTTTGAGGCAGTTCTAGTGACCTTCCTCTTTGACTCTTGACTTGGAGAAGGTTGTGAAAAAGCCCCGGGCAGTTAAGATCGGAAGCAGGAGGACATCAAATGGGTAGATTTTCAGATTCACACTCTACCATAGGCACAGTCATACAAATTTTACGACCCCTATTAGGGAGTTTATGTATGTATTTATATATTTGTGACTTAGACTTATTGATGGCAGACACTTTAGTTTTGGTAGCTGTTGTGGATTGAATGGTGTCCCCCAAAAATGAGTATCAACTTCGCTAGGCCATGATTCCGAGTATTGTGTAGTTGTCCTCCATTTTGTGATCTGATGTAATTTTCCTATGTGTTGTAAATCCTAATCTCTTCCTGTGGTTAATGAGGCAAGATTAGGTTATGCTAAAGAGGATTAGGGTGGGATATAATACCCTTACTCAGGTCACAGCCCTGATCCTATGTTAGGGAAGTTTCCCTGGGATGTGGCCTGTATCACCTTTTATCTTAAAAGAGATAAAAGTTGAGAGAAGCAAGCAGAGAGATAGGGACCTCCTACCACCAAGAAAGATGAGCTGGGAGCAGAGGGTGTCCTTTGGACCTGGGGTCCCTGCACTGAGAAGCTTCTTGACCAGGGGAAGATTGATGACAAGGACCTTCCCCCAGAACCAACACAGAGAGAAAGCATTCATTCCCTGGGAGCTAGTGCCCTGAATCAGACTTCCAGCCTTCTAAACTGTGAAAGAATAAACTTCTATTTGTTAATGCCATCCACTTACGTGGTATTTGTGTTACAGCAGCACTAGACAACTAAGACAGTAGCCCTTCCACTTCCTGCCTGAGAAGTTCCAGACTTCTAGTTTTTGTTAATCAGAAATCACATCTGCTCTTGTTTCTCCTCCTCCAAAATGACATCACAGGCCTGCTTCCCAGAAGAGGGCTGTAATCTGTTATTTCAGTTACAGTCATGTTCTTGCTTGGGAGTGACTTTGCTTGGAAATCCATGTGCTGCTTGAGCAGCCATAGAGAGGCAGAACCTAGGATCTGTTTGCTTTGTCGAGGTGACCTCGGGTTTTGCTTTCTTTTCAGATTGCGGCGCTTTTGTCCACAAAGGCTGTAGAGAAAGTCTGGCTTCCTGTGCAAAGGTCAAAATGAAGGTAAGACATTTCTGGCTAAAAGAAGGCTTACAATAAGGGGTTTAAACCAGTAAAATCCTCAGGAGTTGGGAGAATTGACATACGTGGTAGCTTTTTTTAATTTGGATTATTCTATTAAAAAATAATTTTTTTTCTAAAATGTTAATTCTCTTCTTCACTAACACACTCAGGAATTTGAGACATTTAGAAAATAAAATGCTTTCACAACTTCTACATATTAAATATATGTTGTTTATGATTTTAGTATTTCTGTGTCACTGTTAAAGTGGCTTTCTTCTTTACCATGTCTGCATACCTACTCTGCTGTTCACATACCTGACTTCTCATTCAGGACCAGGAGGACAACAGGTGGAAATCAGGGACGTTCATATCCAGACGGGCTGGGAGGTGTTATGGTTAGACCCAGTCTAGCTTGTAGCAGTTTTCTCACACAGGGTGCATGTACTGGCTCTGAACACATGATACCAGAGTAAAAAGGGCCGGTTCTGTGGTGCAGCCTGCTCTGAGCACACATGTTATGTGATAATGTGTACTGCTTATCAAGTGGCCCTTGTATGTGGCCCTTAAAAATGAGTATGGGTTTGGGGGTATACCTTTTAAATAACCTGTGTGGTTTTCAGTGTTCCGTTCACACATGTCTTTTTGTTCCTTGTCAGAAGAGTACTCTCCAGATATATCTACACAAAAGCTCAGCATGTTGTGTGCTTCTCCATCAATAACCAAGCGCATCTGTCTAGCGCAGTGGCCTCAGTCTAGAACGTGCATCCGACTCACCTGCAGGGCTTGTTAAAAGACAGCTTGCAGGGCCCCACGCCCAGAGTTTCTGATTCGGTAGATCTAGGGCGGGACCTAGGAATTTGCATTTCTAACAAGTTGCCAGACGATGCTGATACTGATCTAGGGTAAAGTTGGCAACTTTCTGTATCCTGGGTCTTTTTCAGCCCAAGGACAAAGACTTTGTTTGGCTTATACAGTATTTAACTTGAATTAATGCAGTCATTTAAAAATCATATTTCGTATCGAATTGGATTCTGATTTCTCCTAAAAAATTGGAAGATCTCACAACCTTGGGTCCCCTGGTCGTTCCCATTACCCAGCAGTCCCAATTCCCCTTACCCTAATCCTCCTTTTTTTCCATAGTACTTCTCATGTTCTGAAAGTCTGTATTTAACAATCTGTATTTATTTATTACATTTATTGTTTTTGATCTATATCTTCCCCCAACTAGAATGTAAGCTGCAAACTTGTCAAACACTGTGAAGGCAGGAATCTTTGATCCATTAAGGTATCCTAAGCACCTAGAATGGTATCCGGCTTATAGGTCCTTAAACGTTAGAGGGATGGATGGCAAGCAGTAATAACTAGAGCTAGTGCTTCTGCCTCCTTTACACAGGATGTGCATGTTCCAGTCTGTCATTTATGTTACTTGCCTGACTCCATAGGTATTTGAGTTTGTGGTCTCTGATGTGATGATTTATTGCCATCGTGAATGTATTAGGTTCTATAGGAGGATAATGATACAGCTATCGCTCCTCCCATATAAGAGCATACAGTCTAGAAGAGGGACTTCCATTTTAAACTGGAAGTTACCCATTTTCACTAATAATTTCCCCCAGATTAACTGCCTAAGTCTAATTTTTCAGAATATGTTTGTTACATGATACAACAACAGAATCTTAACTAAAATTAGCATTTTACCTAAGGATTTGACACCTTATAGATGTAAGTCACTGGAGAAATAAAAATGAAAAAAGTACAGATGCTGCTCTTAAGGAACCAGCAGTCTAGTGGGGAAGACAGACAAGCAGACAGTTACCATAAATGAAATGAAAGCTATGTGGAGGCGTGCACAGGAGTCTAAGGGGGTGCTGATCACTGCCTTGGGTGAAGGGAGGAAAGTGAGTTAATGAGTGGCTTCGCCTTGGAGGGAACACTTAGTTAGAAGAATACCATGCCTCTGAAGGTGAGAAGGGCATTCCATGCAGAAGAAACCACATCTGCAGACTCGGCAAGCTTGAACCTGTTCTGTTGGGGGTGTCTGTAGGATGCTGGGAGCCCTGGTGGCACAGTAGTTAAGAACTCGGCTGCTAACCAAAAGGTCAGCAGTTGAAATCCACCAGCAGCTCCTTGGAAACCCTATGAGGCAGTTCTCCTCTGTCCTTTAGGGTCACTGTGAGTCAGAATCAACTTCATGGCAATGGGTATAGGATGCTGAGGATCAGGAGCAAGAAATAGAGCAGAGGAGGAAAGAAGACTGGCCCAGAGTGGGCTGGACCAGCTGTCTTCTATTCTAGTCTTCTTGAAACTCGACAGGATAATTGTAAATTCAGTCTTCATAGTTTTTTGTTTGTTTTTTCTTTTTCCTTCAGCAGCCCAAAGGGAGCCTTCAGGCACATGACACGTCATCTCTCCCCACAGTCATTATGAGAAACAAGCGTAAGTAGCTCATCCTACCTCTCACAATTCACTTTTTGACTTTCTGGTTCTAGACTTTAAAATATGTATGTAATCTTAAGTAATCTTAATAAAGGTTTGAATACCTATTTTGTAGTAAGATAGAGAAAGCTGCTATTTTATCCTACAGGTTCATTGACCAATAGTACCATCAAACCTTCTTTGAACGTTTCTGGAATGGTGTGTTTGTAGCTTAAAGCCAGTGGCACCCTTAGCCCCATGTGTTTCAGCAAATGATCCAACTCCTATGCGTATAGATTTCCTCATCAGTAAGTCAAGAATTGTAGTGCCTGTTTTTAGTGCCTCACAGTTGTGTGATCAAGTGGGATCTTCCTTATTCAACTTCTTTATAAACTGTGAAGATATGTAAATAGTTCATTTTTTTTCAAGGACCTAAAAGTGGTACACAGAACTGAGTAAATCACATTTCTCCATTCACATCAGACTATCCTCATCAGTCTTTGCAAGGCTACACTTTGTTTTTATTTTACTTAATATTTTTCTGTTTTTATTCTCCATCTTATCGCTTTCCCCTCATTGACACCCACGTAGTATATTTATGTTCCTCTCATCTGCCATATTTTTAGACATATGTGTATCTTTGAACAGTTATCGGATTATTTGTGTGTTGAATTTCACTTATATAATGATATGACTATGCTTATACATTCTGTTCTTATTTTAACTCAACATCATGCATGTTTATTATATGGAAGCCATGGCTTCAGACTGCTGCGTGGTTATTCTTTCATATACATGTACCAGAAAAAGCAAACAAAACCCATTGCCGTCGAGCTGATTACAACTCATAGCAACCCTCTAGGACAGAGTAGAACTGCTGCATGAGGTTTCCAAGGAGCGGCTGGTGGATTCGAACTGCCGACCTTTTGGTTAGCAGCCGAGCTCTTAACCACTGCACCACCAGGGCTGCTCATATACACATACCACATTTTAATTATCAGTTCCCCCAAAGATGGACATCTGAGTTGCTTCCAGCTATTACTATAAATAATACGGTAATGAATATCTTTATAGTTGGCTCCTTGGGAACCTGTGTAAGAGTTACCCTAAGGCAGTGTTTTTCAAAGTATGGTCCCTGGGACCAGTTAGAAATGCAAATTCTTGGGCCCAGACCTACACAATCAATAATTCTGGACATAGAGACTAGCACTTTGTGTTTGAATAAACCCAACAGGTGATTCTGATGCACACTCAGGTTTGAGAACTGCTGCCCTAGGGTATAGAGTCATACCTAATTCCTCTAAGTACTTACAGACAGCTCTCCAGAATGGTTGTACCAGCCTCTACTCCCACAGAAGGTTTTTTAGACATCTTAAGAAACGAAGCCAGTTGCCATCGAGTCAATTGTGACCATGACATCCCCATATGTATCAGAGTAGAACTGTGCTCCATACGGTTTTCAGTGGCTGATTTTTCCAAAGTAGATTCCCAGGCCTTCTGAAGCGCCTCTGAGGTGGACTCGAACCACCAACCTTTTGGTTAGCAGCCAAGCTCTTAACAATTTGTACCACTTGGGGACTCCTTAGACATATTAAGTCCTGTTATTCTCCCTCTTTGCGTTAAGTCCTGTTATTATCTTTCGTAGATGACTACAAGAGAATCTTTGCCACACTGACGTCCACTTCTATCAGACATCTTCCCCACCCATTCCGCTTACCTTTTATAACTAATCTTCCTTAAATGTTTTTTTCTGTGGCATTATCCCTTGTTTCAGAAATGTATTTTCTTTCAAAGAAAATACCTTTTTTATTTTTCTAAATACCTGTTATATGCCAGGTGCTTTGTGTATATCATCTCCAGTTCCCACAAGGATTTATTCCTGTTTTATCCAACTGAGATAGTACAGTGGTTAAGAGTGCAGATTGGAGATTCAGATTGTATGGGTTCAGGTTTCAGCACCACCACTTAATAGCTGTAGACGTTTACAAACCATCCCTGTGCCTCAGTTTCCTTCTCTGTGGGAGGGGGTGGTAGTGAGGTTTGAATGAGAGCGTACAGATAACATTGTTAGTAATAGGCATTTTTTAAGTGTTAGCTTTTGCTTCTGTCATCATCACCATCACAAGTAAGGAAACTGAGGCTCAAAGATATTAAGTAACTTACCCAAGTGGAATATGGATTGGTTTAGCAAAGAAAAACTTATTTCATCCCCCTCTGCTGCCTTTCAGATACAAGTTGTTCTTTATAACCTTTAGCACTCAACATAGCATGGCTTCGTTCTACTTCTCCAGCATTTTCACTGATTCTTACATAATCCTCTATCCTCCTCTGTTTACTGTCTTCTTTTTACTTAATACTACATGATTATTTCTGACTTCATTCACACAATTCCCATCAGAATGTCCCCTATTTTCCTTCCCACCAATCCAAACTCTCAGCATTCTTCAAGAACTGGTGTTTCTTCTTCCATCAGATCTTATTTGCTCACTGACCTCCCTTCTGAAACACTTTAACGCTTATGCATGTCGCCTTTTGTACCAGCTGCTCCTCCTTTCTGTTGGGCAGAAACCACATCTCATCCTCTTTGTTTGCTTCCTGCACCAAGGGTCTGATGGTGTTGTAGTGGATCACATTTCTAATTTTTTATTCTATCACTTTCTTCTGAATAGAATTTGAATTGGAAATTCATGATTTCATTAATTTTTATTAAGTCAAAATCATTCTGAAATATTTTAAAGTCATATCACCAACCCCAGTCGTATTTCTGTCAGCTCCTACCACTCCTGGGGATGGACAGATGACATAACCAGTGTCTGGGGTAGGAGCTCTGTTACTAAGGAAAATGTGTTTCTCACATGCCAGTGTGACCACTTCAGCAAATTGGAACTCCAGTTTCTTCTGTGGTTATGTTAATGAGAAATACGCAGTATGAGAATTAATTAGCTATGTGATGTTAATTATTACGTTTTCCTCATCTGTAAATTAAAAGAATTGGTCAAAATCTGTCTTCTCATACAGTGTGCAGTAGAATCACATGGGGAGTTTGTAAAACATGTAGACTTAGACCCCACCCCCAGGGGACTAGGAGGCCTGGGAATCTGCATATCTCACAAGCACTTCAGATGTTTCCATTGTAGGTAATCCCAGAGAACATTGGCCTCGCTTATCTCAGTTCTTTGAATCTTATTTTTAATTAGTTTGATCTTTTTAATTGTTGTAAATATGCATGTAACAAAACATTTGCCATTTAATTTTTTAAATATGCAATACTTTCACATGATTCTTTGTCTCCATTGCCTAGTTTCCATCCCACCCCACTCTTCTTGGTTTCTTATATAAATATTAATATTAATTTGTATTATATTCTTTTTTCCCTGTGAAAGACAGCCTGTTATACACTTTGTTCTGCACCCTGCATTTTTTCTCCCCCTTAATATATCTTGGAGATCTTTCTGTGTAAGTACATGGAGAGCTCCCTCCTATTGTTAATCAGCTGCCTAGTATTTAAGTTGTACGAGAACTTACTAACCAATCCCCTTTTGTTACTCATTTGTGTCATTTCATATCTTTTGCTTTTACGAACAATGTTGCATTGAATAACTTTGGATATGCATCATTTCACACATATACAAGTATATCTTGTAGCATAAACATATCCTAAAAATGGAATTGCTGGATCAGAGGATATATGCATTTATAATTTCGATAGATACCACCAAATTGTCCTCCATAGAGTTTTTACACCATTTTACGCTCCCAGGGAAAAATCTGTTTTAAAGCATTGTGCTGCTATTTGGCATTTGTTAGGTGAGTTTGTACCAGGCGGGCACGGACAGATGGTGCTTCAGTTAGTGTCTTCTCTTCCTTTGCAGCTTCACAGCCCAAGGAGCGCCCTCGGTCAGCAGTCCTCCTGGCTGATGAAAACACTGCCGCCCCAATGTTTGCTAACAGACGGTCCCAGCAAAGTGTCTTGCTTTCCAAAAGTGTCTCCATACAGAACATTGCTGGGTAAGTGGGGTTTAAAGATAGCACAGTTGACAACTAAGTAACAAAAGCATAATAATCAGATCATTTGACAACAAGATCCTTCTTTTAGAAATTAAGGGGTAAAATAATGGGTTGGTGCATCACTGGGTCATACAGAATGGGGATTCATTTGGGAGTGCTGTCATGGCCGCCATTTTGTAACAGTGAACTCTTTTCAACACCATTATTAGGCCAGGTTCCCCTAGGCTTTTGTAGATGTTCAGTCCCACTTTTGAAAAACCGGAGTTCTACAAAAATGAGTTTTAACTCAAAATAGGAAGTTGGAGTAGGGAAAAGGATGATTTAATTACAAAGTTTTCATTGGCAACCAGTAAGGTTTTCAGACGTCAGATTTTTTTATTGTTCAGGAGAATGTGGTGTTTTGTTTTTTTTAATCTGTTTTGCATCCTTGCCTCCCGCCTCTTAAGTCAGTGTCATGGGGGGGTGAGTAAGGGAGCAGTTAGTACTGTCAGGTTCCTATTCACTAATTTGCACTGAGTACACTCTGTGGTCCCCTTGGGCGCTAACTGTAAGGTCAGTGGTTCGAGCCCATCAGCTACTCCGAGAGAGGAAGATGGGGCAGTCTGCTTCCGTAAAGATTACAGTCTTGGAAACCCTATGGGGTGGTACTGCCCTGTCCTGAAGGGTTGCCATAAGTCATGATCCCCTCAACGGCAGTGGGTACAACATTGTTGTGGTGTCCACTGGCTATTTGGGCCTGGGCTGTCAGATGGTCAGCACAGGGCTGATTATGATGTTGCTGGCTGTTTTGGGTAAGATGTCTGCCTTCCTACCGAATGAGTAAATAATCATCTCAAATGTAGGACTCAAAAACATCTCTCCCATCTCTCAACCTAGGTTGGAGGAAAATTCTTAACTAAAGGATACAAAATGTCCTTTTGTCTCTATTTCCTAAATCATGTGCTGGCTAATGTTTCCTCCTCCTTATTTTTATTTTGTTTTTTCTTTGTAGCTTTGTTACCTCCAAAGGCCTTCTTTTCAAAGTTGTAAGGTTATCAAAGTTTGCATTATGCCTTTAAGAAGTTGGTCCTTGAAGTTTTATATGACTCTTGCTTGCTTTTATGTATACAACAAACATTTATTGGGTGCCGCTATGCTAGATGGTGAGTTAGGGTTGAGATAGTTCAAGGCATAGTTTATTATAAGTGCTTGGTCTATAGCTATTTAGGGAACAGGAAGAGAAAGTATAGTTGTTAGGCAATGAGTTTCAAACTAAGAGATTTCTTATATAATTCATACATAGTGTGAGGAAAAAGAGTTCTCCTTGCTACCTACCATTTTAAAAAAAAATCCTGAAGCTCAAAAAGTTCAAAAAGTTTGAGGTTGCAAGATGGTTAATGTTTCTAACCTTTGTAAATAGTATTGCATGTTGCTGCATATCTGACATGAGTATATTTTGTCTTCAGCCATTGGAGTTCTTACAGCCAGATGCCATTTTAGAGTTTGTCAGGTACTCATCTAAGAAAGCAAACCACAGCACATACAATGGATTTGACAACATGTGCTTCTTTTTGTCTCCAGAGTTGGCAATGATGAGAGCATGTCAAACACGTGGAAATTCCTGTCACATTCAACAGACTCACTAAATAAAATTAGTAAGGTCAACGAGTCAACAGAGTCACTGACTGATGAGGGTAAGAGAAGGGGATGGCCCATATCTTATGCAGCTCTAGACTGTGACCACTGCCTGCAATGCAAGTGTAAATAGAATAATAGTGCCTATCTAGAGAATCTAGTAAAGTTTCTCTATATTGTAAAACATCAAATGGTTTCTAATGAATTGCTAATCATATGTCCCAGTTGTTAGATAGCTGTCCATTGAAGGATGTCATTGAGTTTAATGTAGTACAGATGCTTTTCTTCCCATAGATTCTTGGACACATTCAGTTCTAGCGCTCTAGGCACAATTGCAAGCCTACTCTCCTAAACACGTAACGTTACCAGCTCCCTTCCAACTCCTACTTCATATGGGAATCACAGTCAGCTTTGATTTAAGTGATTTTTATCACTCTTAACCAGTCTTGAATATACAGTCTGTTACTCCCAAATGGGAGATTGTTTTCTTTTTGAGTATTAGGCTGTGTGCTCCATGTATATCCCCTGTATTAATGCAGTGTATTTGTGTCTTAGGAAACCAGTTACCACCCTGAGGGTTATCACTCTGAGGAAAGGCCAGCGTAGGCTTTTTAGGAGTTACAGTCCCAAGATTCTGATCTTGCTTTTTGGCATTTTGAGGAGTAGGTACAGACATGAATGAAGGACAACTAATGGGAGACTTCGAGATTGACTCCAAACAGCTAGAAGCAGAGTCCTGGAGTCGAATAGTGGACAGCAAGTTCCTGAAACAGCAAAAGAAAGATGTGATCAAACGGCAAGAAGTGATTTATGGTAAGACTCTTCATTTTGCTCTGCTGACATCTAATTTGCATTTTCCAGCATTTTTATCTGGTGTTTTATTGGGCTATGGAAAGTCGACTTTTGAGAAGCGTCTTAAAGATTTTCTTTAAAAACTTTGAGGTATAGTGATGTGGTCTTGTTTGTATCCTTTTCTCCCTTTCATCCCACTGTTTCCTTTAATTTTATTGAATATTTTATTTATATTAAGTGCTTATTTATGTAACAGTCCTAGAAAGAATCTCTCGGGAAAGTACAGTTTAGTTCCTTAGCTACACTAGAAACTAGACTAAATACAAGTCATTTCTAGGACTACAGTAAAATATGAGTGATGCTGAATCCAGTGAAGGCTGCTTTGGAAACCACCATTTAAGATTAATGGAATCCCATATGCCTGTCATCAGAAAATAGTGTTGGGTCAAGTAAAAAATACAGGAATAAGATGAGAACACTTTTAGGGAAAAGACAGCTATTGACCTACTTTTAAAGTTTAATTGGGCTGTGAATAGCCTTAAGACTGCAGCAGATGATCTTGAAGGACAATCCATGTGAAAGCGTGTCCCTGACCATGAGCTTTGTCCTCCCCACTTAGAGTTGATGCAAACGGAGTTACATCACATCCGCACGCTCAAGATCATGAGCGATGTGTATAGCCGGGGGATGATGACGGATCTGCTCTTCGAGCAGCAGATGGTGGAAAAGCTGTTCCCCTGTTTGGATGAGCTGATCAGTATCCATAGCCAGTTCTTCCAGAGGATCCTGGAGCGGAAGAAGGAGTCTCTGGTGGAAAAAAGCGAAAAGAACTTTCTCATCAGGAGAATAGGCGACGTGCTTGTCAATCAGGTGAGCGGTAGAAGGACCCTCAAGTTGTTTCAGATGCACTGGGAGAAAAGTGAAGCTTTGGGGTTTGGTAGCCATGCATTCCCATCCTGGCACTTCCACTGATTATCTGTATAAGCTTTGTCAAGTTATTTAATCTCTCTGAGCCTCGATTTCCTTTTCTGTAAAATGAAGACAGGAAGTTTTCTTACCTATGCTATTTTAGAAAGTTGAAAGGGAGTATACACATAGAGTACTAACATATGCGGTAGATAGCCAATGAAAGTTAGGTTTTCATCCTTAGAGTCTATACCCTTCATCAGAAGCAATGTAGTTTAAGGTAAGAGAATGTGAGAAATCAGAAAATGTTTGTTGGGAGTCTCAACTTCTCCCTCTGCCTCAAATGAGAAAGACCTCATTTGTCTAAAATCACTGGGAGAATAGAAAGATGAATAAGAGACTATCTGTAAAATACTTCATAAAATACATATTGTTGCTGATATTTTCATCAAAATGTGATATGGTTTTAATCCCACCCCCTATAAAATGTTTGGCTAAAAGTTATTTTGATTCTTTTGGTTGTATCTGTGTAGACATTTTTTGATGTTTCTTTTTAAAACATTCTTCTTGAAGAAAACCATTGCTAATATACCCTTAGCAGGTAGAGGGTATAACGTGCACTCAACATTCGTTTCTCCAGCAAATCTCTGCTTGTGTACTTCAGAACTGGGACATTTGTCTGAGAATTGGAACTTTTGTCCTTTTGTTGTACTCTTGAACCCGTAACTCTCACCTCATTCATTAATGCATTCATTCATTCTTCAGATATTTACCGAGCCCCTACTATAAAGGCCAGGTGGAACCATAAAGGTGAATCTTACATGGACCTCTGCCTCATGGAGCTCGCATTCTAGGAGTAGAAATAGGCATGTTATCATAAATGCGAATGCTGTATGGTAAATGCTGTAACGCGGGGATCTGCGAGGACAGTCAGGGCCCAAAAGTGGGAGTGGCCAACGAGGATCTTTCCTTCCCAGACATTTCCCTCGTCTCTCTCTCTCCCCATCCTCTGCCTTCAGACCTGCATAGGTATCTCCCACATCTAACCTTGACTTGTATTATCGTTTGTAGCTTCTTGTATCTCTGCACATCCTCTTACAAGATCTTTGATGGTAGGATTCAAATCTTAGCCCCATTTGTTGTGTGCCAGTGCTAGGGTCAGCCCTGCAGGGCGCTTGCTTTGTGATGTCAACAGATCACTTAAAAATCTCGTTGCCTTAGCTTTCCCATTGGTAAATGGGGAAAGGAAAAGCTTCAAGTTTTTTGGTAAGGTCACTTCAGTTGTCTCCAGAGATTTTTAGTACGATGGGGATCAATGCTTAGCATGCATCATATGAACCACAAGCAGAAACTCGTTGATCTACCTCAGAGTGAACATTTCTTCAGACAAACTGTTGAGATTGCACACATTTGGGAATGATTTAAGGGCCATGCACAATTATTGTTAGGACTGCTGGCCTGAGGTAAGTAGGATAAACAGATCCCTAGGTAATAAGGGCTGTTTCTGAGATCTTTTTCTAACTTATCAAGGTCAAATTTTTAAAATTGAATGTCTCATGAAAAACTTACCACAAGTCTCCTTGTTTTATTGCTATCTTTACCACAAATGAAAGTTAGAACACATTTTGCATTTCTTGTGTGTAGTATAGTACATAGATGTGTCTGTAAGTTTATACACATACACGTGTGTATGTGTATTCTATAATTCATTGTGGTAATGTTTGCAGAACTCTGTGAACATACCATAAACCACTGAAGTGCGTCCTTTAAATGAGTGAATTACATGGCATGTGAATTACATCTCAATAAAATGATTTTTATATATTATAGAACACTTTTATCACCACCAAAAGAAACCATGCACCCCTTAACCCCAATTTTCCCATCTCCCCACTCCCCCACCCCCCAGCAACCAACAGGCTACTTTTTGTCTCTATAGATTTGCCTGTTCTATACTTTCATGTAAATGGAATCATGTAATATGTGGTCTCTAGTGACTGACTTTTCATTTAGGTTTTCAGGTTTCATCCATGTTATAGTATGTATCCATACTTTATTCTTTTTTATTGCTAATAGTATTTCCTTGTATAGATATACCACATTTTATTCCCTTGTATAGGTGTTCCACATTTTATGTATCCTTTCATCAGGTAATAGACATTTGGGTTATTTCCACTTTTTGTGTATTATGAATAATGTTGTATGAACATTTGTGTACAAGTTTTTGTGTGGACATAGTTTTCATTTCTCTTGGGTATATACCTAGGAGTGGAATTGCTAAGTCATGTGGTAAGTTTATGTTTAACCTTCTGAGGAACTTCTAGACTGTTTTCCACAGTGGCTGTACCATTTTTTGTTCCTACTAGCAGTGTATGAGGCTGTAAGTTTTTAATCTTTTGGAGGGATCTGTGAGGAAGCACTCTTGGCGTTGACGAATAGAGTGGATCTGTTTTATAAAATCGTAATCGACTTTATTAGCAGCCTGCGTTTTGGCGTGACTTCGGTTCTCTTCTCTGCAGTTTTCAGGTGAGAATGCAGATCGCTTAAAGAAGACATACGGCAAGTTTTGTGAGCAGCACAACCAGTCTGTAAACTACTTCAAAGACCTCTATACCAAGGATAAGCGTTTTCAGGCCTTCGTAAAGGTATTGATGTGAAACATGAAAATCCCCATAATGTGTCAAGGACAGTGTGTTGCTGTCAGTTTTAGCTGGAGCCTTCTTCCTCATGTGGTTCCTGTTTTTTGACCCCCTTATAGAAGAAGATGAGCAGCTCAGTAGTAAGAAGGCTTGGAATCCCAGAGTGCATATTGCTTGTAACCCAGCGCATCACCAAGTACCCAGTTTTATTCCAAAGAATGTTGCAGTGTACCAAAGGTGAGTCTCTCTTTTAACTGAGTCTCGTAGCCAGTGGACTGTTTGCATTGTGTCCAGCAGCACATGAGACCCCTTTAGAGGAGCATTTTTACGCTCTAGTGGGTCTAAAAAAGATCATGTAAATGATAGCAAGAAGGGAGGGGAACCACTTATTGATTTCATCAAGAGTTCAGTGACTTGAACAACTTACTTCTCCCTTATCTACTAGACTGAGAGATAATTCCCACCAGTTCTGCCAGTAAGCATAAAATCCATCGTGCTCCTCTCCATCCCTAAAAATGCTTGGTTCCTTCTATTTTAGACCATAGCATATAATTGCATGTTGTCTGTACCATTGAAAACTTCTGACTTCCTTTAGAATTAAAGTTACGACAGAGGGAGATAGGCTTGTGACCTCTGATATATTGCTTCACTCTAATAGCATAACCACAGAAGGGAACTGGGAAAGATGTGGTGTGAGAAGGCAGGATTCCCCCCTCTGGAAAAGGATCCATTAAAAACAGAATTATTCTTTTCCTTCTAAGACAATGATGTGGAGCAGGAAGATTTAGCTCAGTCCTTGAGCCTGGTGAAGGATGTGATTGGAGCTGTAGACAGCAGAGTGGCAAGTTATGAAAAGAAAGTGCGTCTCAGTGAAATTTATACAAAGACAGATAGCAAGTCGATTATGAGGATGAAGAGTGGTCAGATGTTTGCCAAGGAGGATTTGAAACGGAAGACGCTTGTGCGGGACGGGAGTGTATTTCTGAAGAACGCAGCAGGAAGGTTGAAAGGTAAGGCTTACTTTGTCTGAGGCAAGTGTGTGCTTGAGGGGGGCAGATAAAATCCAAATGCTTTTGTTAGAAATTCACCACCGGATTTTGCCTAGGGAGCCCATATCCAAAAATCACATAGGAGCAACAATCATTTAATTGTTCTTAATCTTACATCAAAAAGGACTGGTTTGAGGTAGCTTACAAAATCATAAAATATAGTAAGGTAACAAGAAAACGGTGCTATCAGGGGAAAGGGGAAATATTTTTTAAAAAAAAGAAAGAAAGCAAAGGATGAAATTAATACAAAAACCCAAGCTGTTAAAGCCTGTTCATTCCTCTCTGAGAGCTGGGCAACAAATTTGGGATTGAGGTCTCTGGTGGAATGATTTTAAGGAGGGAAACACGATCAGTTACACAGTTCACAGAGTCTGTGAGATTAGGAAGAGTCCCTGGGTGGTTAACACACTTGGCAGCTAACAAAAAGGTTGGAAGTTTGAATCCAACCAGAAGTGCCTCAGAAGAAAGGCCTGGTGATCTACTTCTGAAAAGTTAGCCATCGAAAACCCTTTGGAGCACAGTTCTACTCTGACACAGACGGGGTCACCATGAGTTGCAGTCGACTCCACAGCAACTGGTTTTATGAGATTAAAGACAAATAATTTGTTCAGAAGAGACTTTAGAGTACTGTCTCCCGTGGGTCCTCATGAAGAGTGAGCCAAGTCCTCGACAACATTTATCACAACAGTGTTAGACATGGAAGTTTAACTCACACCAGCTAGATTTATTATTAAACTTTATGATACTCCCCTTTGATCTCACGCTAAAGCAAAAGAGATTCATTTTCCATTTAGTTTTAATTTTACTTTTCAAATGGCTCCAACAAGTTAAGGAAGTTATGAGATTTGCTTTTTAATTCATCTGCACATCTGATTCTTTTAAAAATCATTGTTTTCATCAAACTTACATTCTATGGGCCTGTATGGGAGGTCCAACTTCCCAGGTAGCCTTGAGGATACTCACCCCTTCTCCTTGCCTGGATGAAGTGAATCCATAAAGCAGCCTGGGCCAGTGCTGTCAACCCCACTGACATAAAACTCAGTTGCATTGAATGTGTGCTGCTTTCATCTCTGAGCTATAAGCAGTAATGTAGGTAACTGCTCTCAGGGACTACCCAAGAGTCCTTACCTAGAGTCTTGCCATGCTTAGAGCAAATAGTGAAGAAGTCCCAGGCAGTGAGTCCCTCAGTGGTCTCAAAGATAAATGAAGCAGGACACGTTCTTAGAAGTTGGGATCAGAATAAAGAGACTTGTAAGGGTCGCTGTGAGTCAGAATTGACTCTGTCTGGCACATGAGAAGGACAGCAACAATAAGGAGGTAATTGCACACGATGTGGTGAGTGCTAGGCTGGAGGTATGCGCTGGGTATCAGGAGAAAGAGTCGGGAGTGGCCAGCTGCCTGTGACTTGAACGACTTATTTCTCCCTTATCTACTAGACAGAGATAATTCCCACCAGTTCTGCCAGTAAGCATAAAATCCATTGTGCTCCTCTCCATCCCTGAAAATGTTTGGTTCCTTCTATTTTAGACCATAGAATATAATTGCATGTTGTCTGTACCATTGAAAACTTCTGACTTCCTTTAGAATTAAAGTTATGACAAAGGGAGGTGGTGGTAGCCTTTGAGTTATCTTGAAGGATGAAGCGGAGGGTGCCAGACAGAAAGGGAGAAAGCATTCCAGGAGGATTTGAAAGGGTCCGGCACATGCAGAGAAGGGTAGACAGTGGCCATCTCAGGCGGTAGAGTGAGTGATGGGGAGCATGGAAAGATAAGCCTAAAGAAGTGGTATGGGCCAGGTTCACAACTGATACTATTGACGTTGCTGTTGTTAGTTGCTGTCAAGTGGATTCCGACTCATGGCAACCCCACATGTTACAGAGTAGAACTGCGCCATAGGGTGTTCAGGGCTGGGACCTTTGAGAAGCAGATTTCCAGGCCTGTCTTCCGAGGTGCCTCTGGGTGGGTTCAAACCTCAGTATGGGTGGGAGAATGGGTTCACAGTGGAGGGTTTTTAGTAGGAAAGCAATAAGATTGTTTTTTAGTACAAGGACTCGTAGCATTTTAGAGTGCAGATAGGAGTAAGGAGAAACTGGTGACAAACCCAGAGACTGAGCTGATCTGGGTCTGAATTGCAGTACCTACCTACCAGTTGCCGTTGAGTCAGCTTCAGCTCACGGCAACCCCACGTGCGTCAGAGCGAAACTGCTCCGTAGGTTTTTCAGTGGCTGTGTTTTAAGAAATAGACCTCTAGGCCTTTCTTTCGAAGCACCTCTGGGTGGACTCAAATCTCCAACCTTTCTGTTAGCAGCCGAGCTCCATTCTGTGATACTCAGAGAACCCTAGTTCAGGACTTTCCTCGCTGCCACTTTGAGTCTGTCTTTGAGGCAGGCTGGCAGTTCCAGAAATACCTGCTCTCTCTTGAAAGGACCTGAATTTCCTAGAGCTGCTGCTGCTGCCTGGAGCCAGCATTTTATTCTTCCCTTTACGGAGCAGTTTGTTAATTCGTCCTCAAAATAAAAACTAATAGATTCCAGCTGTTGAATAAGGTTGTGGTCAAGCCAATGGAGAATGATAGGTTTTCTGGCCTGAAATGCCTCCAGTGGAGATAGGAGTGGTGTTTAGTCACTTTCACCCCAAGTGAACTGATGCCAAGAACAGCCAGTACCGTGTTGGGTACTTTGGAAAGGGGTGGGATTGTTTTTCTCTGATCCGCTGACACTGATCATATAAACTTTAGGATCTAATGAAATTGACATTCGTGTTTTAGAGCTCTTTTGGCAGGCACCTGAGTTATTTAAAAATAACCTTAAAAAAAAAAAAAAACTAATGGTAATACATGGAAAATTACTGTGGTCTCTGCTGAAAAGTTAGACCTCCCTAGGAATTGGACACACTTGCTTCTGTTTTCTTCATAGCTTTGCAATGAATTACATGGAAAGGGCATTCCAGTCATGGCAGAGGTTGTAGAAGAGGCCAGAGCGGCCGGATTGCATAGGAACGGGTTCATTTCTTCTACTGAGGAAGTGTAGTCTCCACATTACAAGTGCTGAAGATACACAGGGGCTGTACGTTAGATGGCAGTAGAAGCTAACCTCCAGAGGTGTCAAACTTTGTCCTTCAGGGAGTATGAAAAATGTCACTTTGTACTCCTAGAGGATTAGTCAGATCATGCATGGGTTGTGGGATTCTTTTTGATTTGTGGATCCAACTAGAGATGTGAATTTGGTTTGGAGAAGAATTGAAAGCTATTTCCCTGGTACAGGGAGGTTGAGGTTGGCTGTTGTATGTTGGAGCTGGGGAAAGAGCTAGTGGTATTCACATGTACCTGTGAAATCAGAGGGCCTTTGTGTGAGCCATTCTTGTTCTCTTGGGAATGTAGACGTCTAGCTTTTATTAGACTCAGATATTTTATACATCACCTTTTGGCAGCTTTCCTTTTTGCTTATCCCACGCCTTTCCCATTGCTACAGTCAGACGTTGAGACATATTATGACCTGAGTATTTTGTGGAGTATTTGTTATTTAACATCTGTTGAAGTCCAGCTTTCAAAGTTTATTCTCAGAGTGTTGCCCTATGGTACATACCTTTCCAGAACTGAGTACTTAGTCTTTTCCCAAACAAAGCTTTTGTGATAAATCCCATTTAAACAATGCCTCTAAAAATGTAGTGACCAGATCTGGATCCTACAGAGCTTTAGGACCATTGCCATGGAGGGGTGTGATCTCAGATAAGGATCTGCCCCCATGGCGTGTGTTGCTGAATAATTCTCTAATAATTACCCTTCTGTAACTATTAACTATTATTAACTATTAATTTTTAAAGTAATTTTTCTCTCCCTCCCCCCCACCCCCTTTTCCACTTTCCAGAGGTTCAAGCAGTTCTGCTCACTGACATTTTAGTTTTCCTTCAAGAAAAAGACCAGAAGTACGTCTTTGCATCATTGGTAAGCTAAATTGTTACTCTCTTCTGTTTGTAATTAATAGTGTTAAACATAGGTAAGTACTGGTCATGAACACTATATTATCACCCCCCTCCATCAAAATTAACTGGCTCAAGACAGACATCTCTGAGTAGTTTGTGTACACTCTCACAGTTTTCTGCTCTTCATCGCCTTCCCAGAAATTACCGTTTTTCTGTTCCCTCACAACCCTTTCAATGCCTTGGACATTTGACAGTTGATCTAAAAAGAGATCTGTCACTGGAGTGTTTCTCACATGTTAGGCTCCATAAATCTTGTTCACTTATATTATTGCTGACCAGATTCTTTGGGCAAACTGGAAGGATTGATCATGCAGAAAACATGACTAGAACCTTTATAGTTGTAAAGTATCATTTTCCTGTTGGAATCTTTTTGTTCAGTAAAACTCTCATTAAATAATGGTGCATATCTCTTTATCCAAAATCTGCCATTATTTGTTAAGCCACATGCTTTTAAATCTGCAGTAAGATCTTACCTTAGATTGCAGTTGTCCTTAAGAGTTAAAAGTATAACATACATTTCTTATATCTCTCCTCTTCCTCTTTTCAGGACCAGAAATCAACAGTGATCTCTTTAAAGAAGCTGATTGTAAGAGAAGTGGCGCACGAGGAGAAAGGCTTATTCCTGATCAGTATGGGGATGAAAGATCCCGAGATGGTAGAAGTCCACGCCAGCTCCAAGGAGGAACGGAACAGCTGGATTCACATCATCCAGGATACGATAAACACCCTGTAAGTTAGACTCCAGGGCCCACCTTCCCAGACCTCACACTGCCTCTCTGCGATTTCGTCATGGTCTGGCAGTGACCAGAGTAATTAATATCTTAGGAGTTTTTTGTTTTGTTTCGGTTGTTTTAGGAACAGAGATGAAGATGAAGGAATCCCTAGTGAGAACGAGGAAGAGAAGAAAATGTTGGACACCAAAGCCCGGGAATTAAAAGGTAAAGCAGCTGGAAGTGGTCTGAGGCCCTGGCCTGTGGTGTCTGCAGCTGCAGAAGACCTGCTGGTGGTTTTCAGAGCCACTTGCTGCTCCTCAGTCGCAGAGCTGTCCGAGCAGGCCCTCGAAACCAGAGAAGTGAATAGCTTTTCACAGAAGGGAAACCAAACGTGAGCTGACATGGGTTCTGGTAAACAGCGGCTCTAAGGACATGTCTGATACTAGATGAATAGATGAATGCTACTAGGCGAATGTGTCTGCTACTGGATGCTCTCGTCTTAGCAACAGTGTTGTTGGGCCCTGGTGACACTGTATTTTATGTCACAGGAGAATAAGGCAAGATTTATAGTCATAGCTAAGATTAAAACAGGTAGTAGACAAAGGTATTTGAGGGAAAGAATTCTCCAGTTAATCTGTTTTAAACTTCCTGTCAGTCCTCGGCTTTATCTGTTAGGCCCTACCACTGATCTGTGCATTCACAAATGAGTTTTGAGGTATTCCAGGAAGAAGTGTACTTACTGATTCTGTTTAACCACCATTTATTGAGTATCTACTATGTATATAGTCTTGTCAACATCCCTGCAAGACAGATACTCTTATGCCCATTGTACTGATGGGAAATCTGAGGACCACCAGGGCCAAGTGCCCCAGGGCTATATGTCTAGTTAGTGCCAGAGCCAGGATTCTTATCCTCACAGCAAAGCCTGGTGCTGTGCCCTCTGCTGGCTAGCTATTGAGTGTTCCAAAGTAAGTAAAGACTCTGCTTTGGGTAGAAATAAGGCCCAGAGTCAAATAAATGTAAGCACTCAAGGGGTTTAGTTAGTCCTTCAAGCTGTACGGTGATTTTTTTTTTTTTTTTTTATTAGTTTCTGTTTCTATCAGTGAAAGAAAAAAAAAAAGATGGACAGACTTAGACTCGAGCCAGGTTTTGTTATGTTTTAAAACTTCCTCCTTTGAACATTAGTGAGCACCTGGCCAGGCATACTGCTAGGTGCTAGAGATGCAAGGATTCCTGGAACAGAGTCCCTACCCTTGGGAAGCTCATTTCTAGTAAGGGAGAGATACATGAACATCAGGCTGCAGAGAGCTTTTACACCGTAGCACAGATAACGTGCGTGAGGTCCACTAATTCGTCCCATGCTGAATCTCACAGAGACACATGAGCTACATTGGCAAACATTCCACCAGACAAGAAGAATAGTTGTGTGCAAAGGTGAAGAAGGACCTGCCGTCTCTGCCAAGGAATGACAGGTTTGGTAGGCCTAGAGTGTTGGGACCAAGAGATGAGAGATTAAGGTGGGAAGGCACTGGGTCTCGGAAGGCAGCAGAGAGCTTCTGAAGGATTTGACTCAGGAGACTGGTATCATTTTTTTAAAAAAAGAAAAATGTTAACATGCTGAAGCAAATTGAGAATCGCTTGAAGGTGTTGAAGGAGCCACGGGATATGGAAAGAGCAGCTGGGAGGCCCTTGGAATAGGTTACGTGAGACATGGGCCAAGAAGGGCTGAATGAGCGAGAACTACGGCCATCAAACCGGGTACCCTTGACGTGGGCGGAGAACGAAGTCTCTCCCAGGTGTCCAGCTTGGGTAACCTGGAGGAGGAAGATGTGGTTGACCTAGGAAGAAATCACAGGCTAAAGGGAAGAGGTAGGATGGCAAGAATGGAGGAAAGATTGGCTTCTGACATGCTGAGAATGAGACATTCAGTGGAGATGGCCACTGACAGTGGACCAAGTGCTTCCAAAAAACAGAGGTGGATTGGGGATGTTTTGTGAGTTACCAGCACATAGGAAGTCATTGAAGCCATGGAAGTCGATGAGATCCCCAAAAGGAAAATATGAAAAGTATAGAAGACAGTCCATGATGGAACTGAGGGGAACCCAGGGCTTGCATTGCAGATGACAGATCTGTAACTTGCCCTGAGAAGGAATGATAGCAAGAGAACCAGTGATGTCCTCAAAGTGAAGGAGGAAAGCCATCTCAGAAGGAGGGAGTTACAATCAGTGCTGGAAAAGATCAAATTAAAAGACCTCATTGGATTCAGGACAGAGCAGTCAGAGAGGAGTGTGAGACAAAAGCCGGAGAGCAGAGGGTTGAGAGAGAAACAGGAGGTGAGGGAGTGGAGGAGTCCTTGGATGGTGCAATACAGTTAAGGTTGGCAGTTCGAGTCCACCCAGATGCTTCTAGGAAGAAAGGCCTAGTGACCTTTCAGTCAGCCATTGAAAACCCTATAGAGACAGTTCTGCTCTAACACACAAGAGGTCACCGTGAGTTGGGAACGACTTGACGGTAACTGGTTTGATTTGGTTTAAGGGAGTAGAAACAAATGCAGACTTGCCAGAAGACTTGTGGTTCTCTCAAAAATTCCAGTGTTTGCCTAGAAAGACCCAGGATAGGTTTCCACGTAGATATTACAGAACAGAAACTTGATAATGCTACCTTGGTGATTTTTGTTTGTTTGTTTTTTAAAAAGAAAGCAATGTTCTGTCTGGAAACCCTGGTGGCACAGTGGTTAAGAGCTACGGCTGCTAACCAAAAGGTCAGCAGTTCGAATGTACCAGCTGCTCCTTGGAAACCCTATGGGGCAGTTCTACTCTGTCCTATAGGGTCGCTATGAGTCGGAATCGATTCTACTGGCAACGGGGTAACAGGGATGTTCTGTCTTGTCGCTTTCCATAAATCACCACAAGGTGGCGATCACATATTAGTCATCTAATAATATACTAAACAAAATCACAAGACTGTTTTCTCCGTTCACCCTGCAGAACAACTTCAACAAAAGGACCAACAGATCCTACACTTACTGGAAGAGAAGGAGATGATTTTCCGGGATATGACAGAGTGCAGCACTCCATTGCCAGAGGATTGCTCCCCAACTCACAGCTCTAGAATCCTCTTCCGGTCCAACACAGAAGAGGCTCTCAAAGGAGGACCTTTAATGAAAAGTGCAATAAATGAGGGTAATTCACATTCAGCGTTACTAGGGAACACTATGCTAATATTATCTAACAGTTTTTACTTTTTTGTTGTAAAATGAAACACAGATGCAGAAAACTATATAAATATTATCACTTAGTAAATTATCACCCCTTGTAACCACTACCCTGGTCAAGAAATAAAGCTTGGCCATCTACCCTCCGAGCTCCTCATGTACCCTATCCCCATCATATCTCTCTCTGTCCCTTCAAAAGGGACAGGCATTGTGACTTTTTTAGTAATCACTTGCTTGTGTTTTTTTTTTTTATGCCTTAATTGCCTAACTGTTCTTAGATGGAGCCCTGGTGGCACAGTGGTTAAGAGCTCAGCTGCTAACCAAAAGGTCAGCAGTTTGAATCCACCAGTCATTCCTTGGAAATCCTGTGGGGCAGTTCTACTCTGTCCCGTAGGGTCCCTATGAGTCAGAATTGACTCGACGGCAATGGGTTTGGGTTTTTTGTTTTTTGTTTTTTTTCATTCTTTGACACTCTAGTTGAGGCTTGCTTAGGTTTTTTTGGCATAGCTTTTAAGAGTCTTAATTTATAGTCCCCACCATCCTTTTTCCATATGGTTTATCTTTGAAGAATCTGAGCTTTTGACCAGTAGAGTGTCCCACAGTTTGGACTTTATTCATACAGCAGCCGTTCTACTGTCTTCAGTATTTCCTTCAAATTTGCAGCTGGCCCCAAAGGCAATTTCTTGTATAGGATTTGACCTCGATAGTTTTCCATTGTTTATTATTGTGTGAGATAAGATTCTTCAATTTTTTGGAGAAGGCTTTGGTCAGATAGCTTTTCTCACTTCACAAGACTCTTCTGTCGTTTTCATGTAGTGTTTAAATCTATGTGGCTTGTCTTGTGAGCTTCCTGGCTCTCTTTCCCTCCCTTATTCCATCTGGACCTTCTTTTTCCTCTATCTCTGTGGTCCTTGTCCTGCTCAGTTTTTATCCACTCTCAGCACTTCCTCCTTTCTGTGGGGCCCTGCTCTAGAAAAGAACTGTACCTGGTCATATTCAAGACTTAAGGTGCTGAGAGCACTCTAGCTCCTTGAACTCATTTACTATTGGAGGCAGTAAAAACCCTTCCAGTTTTAGTTGCTGTTGTCATATTGGCCCACCTTACTTTCCAGGGAATACCTTTGGGCTACTCCAGAAGCCATGCTCCTTCCAGTAAATCACTCTGCCCTCCCTGTATTATTTCACATTTCCTAGGCCTAATGTAAGTAAATAAGGCTGAAGGTTTAATCTCTAAATTTCCAATAGAATCCAACTAAAACATATACCCTGAGCTTGAGACCCTCCTCTGAGCAAAGGAAGTTACCCAGACACTCTTGGAACTTGCTGATCATGCTTCCGGTCCATATCACGGATTACCATGAAATTTTTTTTCTCATTGAAAGATGAGATGTCAGTTTGGCATGTTTCCTTTTTTCCAGTGGAGATCCTTCAGGGTTTGGTGAGCGGAAGCCTGGGAGGCACACTGGGGCCAGCTGTCAGCAGCCTGATTGAGCAAGAAGGCATGGTCGGCCCTGTTTCCTTGCCCCGGAGAGCAGAGACCTTTGGAGGCTTTGACAGCCATCAGATGAATGCTTCAAAAGGTAAATGATTTTGAACTCCTGTGCTTTCACCACCGATCCTTGACTGTCACACACAACTTAAAAAATGACCTCTGTTCTAGTAGCCCCATTTCCTCTGTCCTGTTCAATCAATGAATGTTTTAGTGAGATCCAAATAATGTAGCTAGCTGCTAAAACACTCAAGAACCTTCGGTCACATTCAGTTTGAGTAATGAAAGAGATTGTCGTGGGATCCCAGCTAAGCTGTAGCTAAAGTAGTATGATACGTGTTTTTTCTCCCTGCCTATGGTTCTTCTCCATCAATAAAATTATTGTTAATGATCATTTACCTGCCACCAGGTGGCTTCCCTTTTTTGGCATTATAATAGAATTCAGAAATATCATACACCTAAGCTATGTATTTTGTATTTTTTTCTTGGCCAGTCTGTTTCACAACTTAAAAATAGTTTGTTTTTTTGGTTCTTTTAGGAGGTGAGAAGGAAGAAGGAGATGATGGCCAAGATCTTAGGAGGACAGAATCGGATAGTGGTCTGAAGAAGGTATTTCTTTCTAAAATATCCTCCAACCTGTTTGGCACATCCCTGTGAAATTCACCACATTTGAAATTATTCCACTTGATCATGTGTTGGGTGCCTGGCTTGCTGTTTTTAATCCCGACTTTATTTTCAGAGGAACGCACATTTTTAAAACAAACAGTACAGTCAGGGGTTCCCACTTGATTGGCCGTTTGGCCTTTCTGGCGTAGAACACTGTGTTTACGTATGCAGCCCTGCCACGCCCTGGCAGGGCCTTAGTTTCATTAAGAGGTTTGTTAAGAGGTTTGTTTTGAATGCTCCAAGCCAACCAGATTGCTTTACTGGCTTCAGTAATGGCCTCAAGGCTTCATTACTTCGCAGTGAGAGGCTATGGTAGGAGAAAATGGGAGGCCACAGCGTAACTTAGAAGCACATTGAGTATAGTTTTTACATTGTGATCTTTTATTTTTTTAATGTGTGTTTTTTGTTTTATAGGGTGGTAACGCTAACCTGGGCTTTATGCTTAAAAGAAACAGTGAGGTAAGGATGTTTGTGCTGTTTAAAAGCAGCCTGTGTTTTACCTTAACCATCATTCACTTAGGAATACTCTTTTGTTTTGCAGTCATAAACAAGATACTCTTGGCTAAAATCTGTACAGTTGTCAGTTTCTTTACCTTTCTTTTTTTCCTAGTCCCAGGGCACCATCTTGGAATTTGACCAGTTAGGGTATTACCTACTAAAATAGCCCGATTCTCTCTCGTCATTGAGAATCCTTTTGTTTTAATCAACTCCTCCTTAAACATTAGGCTGTCAAGTCTAGTTGGGGATTTCTTTTTCAGGCTGAGGCACACTGCACAGAATTTGTAGTAAACCCAATGGCAGAAGCTACAAGTCTGGAACAGGAGAAATTAACTCGTGGGTAATTCTACATAGTAATTTCCTATGCTGCAAGGACTCTGGCGTTTTCTTCTTTGAGAGCTGCTTTTCGCTGAATATGTGTTCCAGCTGTGAAAGTAGCCTTGGTGCCCTCCTAGTTAGGAGTCAGATTCAACGATCCTCACTTTCCCCTTCCTTGAACCCAGTTCCTCTCATCCTGCAGGGTGGTTGCACTTTGTTCACTTGCCCCCTACTCTCCCTGATTCTTTCTTATTAAGTAATCTTGGAGTTTACTAAATAAAAAAAAAATCAAACCAGTTGCCATGGAGTCAATTCCAACTCATGGTGACCCCATATGTACAAAATAGAACTGCTCCATACATAGGGTTTTCAAAAGCTGTGACCTTTCAGGAGCAGATCACCAGGCCTGTCTTCCAAGAAGCCTCCGGGTAGGTTCAAACTGCCACCCTTTCGGTTAGTAGTCAAGTGCTTAACCATTTATACCACCCAGGGACTCCTTGAGGTCACCCATCTCCAAAATTATTTGACTCGAAGCATGTGGTTTTCTGTGTAAGCAGACTGCAACTAGATATAGCTGCGTTTCAGGGTATACTTTTCAAGGATGTTCTTCATGTTTCTTCTTGCTTTTAACATGTTAAATCCCTGAAGAGCTTTGTTTTGAAGTTGTAAATTAAGGAGATCTTTCCCTTTTCCCCCTAAAACATAGAAAGATATTGTTTTATATTTGTTGGCATGGAAGTCTAAATATTGGGATGTCCTGAGGGAATCCCCTTCGATGTTTCTATCCTTAAATGAAGTACACCTGGCCTCACACAGCCTTCTTGCTCCCTGTGTCTGCTGCTTGAAAATGAGCTGTTAGCTAATTTGTCCATTTAGCAACTTCTTCCCCTGTATTTAGAGAGAAGAGTCAGGGTAAGAGATTGTACAAAACCTGTTTGTTTTTCAGGCATGTCAGTACAGATTATATACTGTAGATGGTCAGCTAAAGTCAGCTAGTCTTGTGTAATTTCTTTCTCAGTTTATTAACTTATAAACTTAATGAGGGGTAAAAAGTATTCTCAAAGGAGCTAAGCCTGGTAGTTTAAGTTTTTTAATTTTTTAAGTTTTATAAAAGGAATAGATGTTTATGGTAGAAAATTTGAAGAATGTCTGAAAATCTAAAAATAAAAAAGTTAACATAATCCCACCACTCAGAGATAATTAGTGTTATATATTTGGTGTTCACATTTCCAGCCTTTTTTTTCTACATAGCATATCTTTGTGTGTCTGAGTTCTTGTGTGTATGAATAGTATATAAACAGTTTACACAGTTTGTATCAATACTGCCTCTAGCCTTATTTTTCCTCCTTTTTTTTCTCTTAACACATATTGTAAGCATTTTGTCAGGAGGTAGTTTTACAAAACATGCTGTTTAAAAGCTGTATATAATTACATTGTATACCATGATTTGGAGCCCTGGTGGTATAGTGGTTAAGAGCTCAGCTGCTAACCAAAAGGTCCACAGTTCAAATCCACCAGCTGCTCCTTGGAAACCCTGTAGGGCAGTTCTTCTCTGTCTTATAGGGTCTCTATGAGTGGGAATCGACTTGACAGCAATGGGTACCATAGTTTAATTTTTGCAATAGTTAATTCTTTTTCTGCTTTATGCTTTTTAAATAATGCAGCCAAGAACACCCTTGTACATACATTTTTTTTTACACAGCTCTTTATTTCCTCAAAATGCCAAATTACTCTCTCGAAAGGAGGTTATACAGTGTTTATCACTACCAGTCAGGTGTGAGAGTATTGATTTTCATCTTATGTTCACCAACATTGAATATTACCACTTTTTATTGACGTTTTATTGGTTTGATAACTTCAAATGGTATTTGTTTTATTTTCATTTATTTGATTTCAAATAAGAGTGAATCATTTTTAATAGGTTATTTAATTGGCCTTTTTTATCTCTTGTTTTCCAAATTGTGCCTCTACTAGGGTATATATTTTTTTCTAATTGATATATGAGAGCCTTTTTTAATTACAGATATTTTTCATTTGACTTTCTGTTCAAATTTGACCTTTGCCTTGTGATTTAATTTTACATTTTTACGTAGTAAAATATGGAAAAAAGTTTTCTGTGGTTTTCTTTCATTACTTCTGTGTTTGACAGGCCTTTTCCATTCCAAGATCTGAAAACATTTTCTTATATTTTCTTCTAGCTGTCTTCATGGTTCATTTTTTACACTTAACATTTTAATCCATTTCACTTTTTTTGCTCGAACCGGGCTCTCAACTTAATTTTTCCCAAAGATATAGCCAAGTTTCCTCAGAACAATTTATTGGATATTCTGCCCTTTCCCACTGATAGGAAGTGCTACTTATATACTAAATTCTTATGGTTTGTCTCTGGGTTTTTTGTTCTGTTACGTTGCTATCTATGGCTGCCATTTTTGTGCCAGTCATTGTAAATGATGGAGGTTTTATATTTTATAATACATTTTAGTGTGCGCTGATGTTCCTTCTACACACAGTTTGTTGTGTTTGTTTCTTTGGTCTTATTTTGCTTTTCTTGGGTGCCTATACCTGCTTATTTTCTTTGCTGCTTTCAATTTGAAAACGTTTCATTAAAATGCAAGCACCTGGCCGTATTTTAAGGAAGTTATCTTGTCAAATAACCACTTAGTGTTCTGGATTCCAAGACTCATAAAGTCCCTGGAATGATGTCTCCATTTTGTTTTTTTTACAGGTCATCCAGAGCATTGTTCACCTCCACGAACTTCTTAGCACTTTGCAGGTACATGACTTATCTTTTATTCTTCCATTTGCCTGTTTAAAGGAAAACAGTAAAGGGAGTATTGTTGACCTGGATCTTTGAGATTTATAGGTTGCTTAGGGTAAATGGGGCTCTCATGCTAGGGAAGACTGACTCTCGTGATGAGAAAGGTTATAAAATTTAATGGTTATGGTACCATCTACCTTATTAGAGTAGAACTGATGAAGAAATAGTTGACTACAGGTACTATTTGATAACCATGCCACAAAGCACAGAGGGTGCTAACATGCATTTAGGAGATAATTTCAATCTGGAAAGCCTTTAGTATGATTTAAGTTTACATAGTCCCTGTTTCTATGTGGTATTTGCATAGGGTGGCTGTGAAGTCAGAGTCACTCTAGCAGATCCTGCCAACTATACCAGTTGTGCCAACCAGTCCAGGGAAAATAAGACCACCCACTTTTGAAGGTGAATTGTGTGGTGGATAATAAATCCCACTCTACACGCCAGCTGCATCCTGTGAAAATCTCAGCTTCCCTTCCCTGTTCATTTCTGACCACAGCTGCCCACACAGCTTCTCTGTCTCTCATCCCCAGCCACCCAGGGCTAGATCAGCAGGTACCAGCTACAGTCTCGGGAGCCCACATGATTCCATCCACATTAGACAAGCAGGCCCCCACTACTCCTTTGGGTCATCCTATAATTTGCTGGAATGACTCAGCACTCACAGGAAACACCATCCATAACAGCTTTAATATAACAAAAAGGATACAAATGAAGAGGTGCATGGGGCAGGTCCAGGAGGGTCCCAGTGCAGAGCTTCCATGTCCCAAGAGGACGTACTACCGAGAGCAAATGTTCACTCTTAACCAACCAGGAAGCTCTGTCTGAGGCTCAGGGCTTTTATCAGCCTCACCATGATAAATGGCCATGATAAATTACATCATGCCTCCTGAGGCTTAGTCAGCATCGGGCCGCCAGGCGAGCTTCTGTTCTCGGGCTGCTTATCTGCCTCACTACAGTGGCCATGATAGATTTACATCATGCCTCTTGAGGCTTAGTCGGCACTGGCCCCCAGCTGGTCCCCCTTGGTCTGGTCAGACCCTATTCATTAGCCTCAGGTGCATGTCAGCTCTCAGGAACCCAGAACAAAAGGCCAAATTGCTTTCTGCACCTCACAGTGGCCCTCCCAAAACAGCCACTATTTAGTACTTCCCGGGAATATTCTCAGACTCCGCTCATTTCCTTTCTTGAAGATCTGTTGTTGTTTGTTGTCGTGTGCCCTCTAGTTGATTACGACTCATACAATTCCTATGTCCCCCCACCTCCTACACGCCTGCACACTCACTCACCCTACCCCAGGCAATGCCAGTGACCCCAAACGGCATGTGACCAAGTTTAACCAAAAAACTGAGTTCCTACACGTAGACAATCCTATTTGATAATTGCCAAATTTACCATGGAGCAGCTGGAAGGGTGAGAGGAGAGCTGTAGTCTGTCACAGTGCGTAGTGCTCCCCTCCCTGGTATGGGTCAGGAGGTGGACCAGAAGTTAGCACTCATCCTAGGCCAGAGTTGCATTCTTTCCTCTTCTGCTATCTCCCTCAGGGTGTGGTGTTACAGCAGGACAGCTACATTGAGGACCAGAAGCTGATGCTGAGTGAGCGGGCGCTCACGCGGAGCTCCTCCCGCCCCAGCTCCCTCATCGAGCAGGAGAAGCAGCGCAGCCTGGAGAAGCAGCGGCAGGACCTGGCCAACCTGCAGAAGCAGCAGGCCCAGCACCTGGAGGAGAAGCGCAGGCGGGAGCGGGAGTGGGAAGCCCGAGAGAGGGAGCTGCTGGAGCGCGAGGCCCGGCTGGCCCAGTGGGAGGAGAAGGTGCAGCGTGGGCAGCAGGACTTAGAGAGGGACCGCGAGGAGCTCCAGCAGAAGAAGGGCACATACCAGTACGACCTGGAGAGGCTGCGTGCAGCCCAGAAACAGCTCGAGAGAGAGCAGGAGCAGCTGAAAAGAGACACGGAGCAGCTCAGCCAAAGGCGGATAGAAGGGGACGTATGTCAGGTAATGACGGCATTTTCCCATTTTCGATTGACTTCACTTCTGCCATTCAGAGCCCAGGGACAAAAAGGAGAGGTTTTCTTTACCTGTTACTGGTTTGGCTACTTAAATGACCGATGCTAATTAAGAACCCTCTGTGTATTAAGCACCATAAATAGTAAGCAGAGATACAGATCCTCTTTTTTTTTTTAACAGAATTTTGTTTTACACTGAAAGGGGGGTGGAGAGTGAGTCTTTTTCTCTTTTTTGCATCTCTGAGAGGTTGATGGGGAGAATGGAGATACCTGGGGGTTTTAGCCAAGGAAGTTAGCGGCACTTCCAAGCCAGACTGACACCTCCCGCGGCCCCATCAGCTTCGACTAAAATAGCCTTGGCATGTCTGAGAAAATGAGCAGCCTGTCTGCCCTGGGCCACATGAGAAGTCAGGTGTGGCCCCCACCCTGAAGGAGCCTGTAGCCTGATGGGGAAACACACCAAGAATAGGAACCCCCAGAATGGGCAGTGGCTGCCATCACTCGACAGCAGTAAATGGTTCTGGTGCAAGAGCATTCAAGAGTCCATTTTGTAGGATCCCTGAGGGTTCAATTAGGAAAAAGCCCATCCCAGCAAATGAGTGGGGGGAAGCAACTCCTCTTCTGGGAAGATGATACTCATTCTTGTGGAAATTCTGATATCAGGACTCTGCTTAATTCTTGATTTGCCTTGCTACTGTTGATGAAACCTTTCTTTTTCTGTAGCTTCTGAATCTGTGGGAAGGATTTCAGTTATTCAGCACACTAACTCTGGAGTTTATCTCAGTGATTCCATGGTTGTTCTGGAACATGGACACCCTGTGGCAGATGGAGAGCCCGAGTTCACGCACATCTGCCTGTTTGTGGAAACTCCTGTCATGTTACCATTTGATTGATTGATTGACCCTGGACCATGAAAGAAAATTAAACTGGCATCTTCCAGAGGGGGCAGTTTTAGCTTCCTGTAGAGATTTTCAAATACATGGTGGGGAGCAACAAGTGGTCCCATTTTATGCAACAATGACTGATTCCACCCCGCCCCCACAAAATCAGCTGGGCTGTGGCAAAGGAAGGCAGCGAGGCGACTGAGCACAGACTAGACTGGTCCTCTTCACCTCTGGTCTGCCCTTTGCCTAGAATCTGGGTATAAACTCCACTCTTCCGCTTACCCTCTAACCTGGGCAGGCTCTGACAGTCTCTTTGTCCTGAAGTAATTATCTACCTCCCTGTGTAAATCAGTCTTGACAGAAGCAACTCTCCTTGTTTCTGGGAGTTCTTTTCTGAGCTGCCTCATCAAAGGTGCTATGTCTTAGTTATCTAGTCTGCTATAATAGAAATACCAAGAAGCGTTGGCTTTAACAAACGAATTTATTTTCTCACAGTTTAGAAGGCTAGAAGTCCAAATTCAGGGTGCCAGCTCCAGGGGAAGGCTTTCTCTCTCTGTCGGGTCTGGAGGAAGGTCCTGGCCTCTTTTGAGCTTCTGCTCCTGGGCAAACTTCATGTGGCTTAGTAGCTCTCTTCCCTCGTCTCTGCTTCTCTGGCTTCCTTGTTTAATCTCTTTTATATCTCAAAAGAGATTGTTTTAACACACCCTACACTAATCCTGTCTCATTGACATAACAAAGACAACCCATTCCCAAATGGGATTATAACCAAGTTAGGATTTACAGCACAGACTTCTGGGGGACACAGTTCAATCCATAGCATGCTAGTAATTCTTTATGATGCTGATTTAAGTACACGTTGTAATAAAAATAGTAATGGTATCAAAGGCAGTATTTTTAACACTTGGGTAGCTACTGCCTGGGGGAGAGCAGTAAATGAAACTGAGAAGTTCTGAGCCTTACTCCAGTGAGTTCTCTAGAGCCCTAGAGAGTGGGTAAACCCCCAGCTGACACCAGTGCAGATCAGCCAGCATTTCTTGAGCGGGCGCCGGGGATGCTGCCAACCTCTAAGTTAAAACCCCTTCTCTTGAACATGCGCAGGTCTCACATCAGCATACCAAGACGATGAGGATCCCATCCTTCTGTCCCAATCCTGAGGAGTCCCCTCTACCTTCTGCACCTTCAGTAGTCAAATCAGTGTCACTGGACTCAGAACTTTCAATGTCCCCAAAAAGGAACAGCATCTCTCGGACACACAGAGATAGAACTTTTCACATACTGAGTTCAGCCAGCCAGACAAGCAGAGTACCCGAGGGGTCGAGCCAGACCCCAGTGTCCACCTCCACGTCCGCCCGCCTGTTCGGGTTAGCGAAGCCAAAGGAAAAGAAGGAGAAAAAGAAGAAGAGCAAAGGAGGCCGCCCTCAGCCCGGCGGTGAGTACACACACCCGCCCGCCCCGGGTTCTGAAGAGTGGGGTCTGCGGTTTCAAAAGGGTATATTTTAGGTGAGTGAAGGCTGAATTGTCATACTTCTCAGCAGATCCACTTGCTCTGTTGGATTTAACACGAACTTTAATTCAGCAAACACTGCGCAAAGCAGATTTCACTGTTGAGGCATTTACTGTCCGCTTGAGGAACTGAAACTCACCTAGATGAAGCAAAGCCCTCCCTGTCTTTCTAGGCCTAGTCCAATAATTGGTAATAATAGCCAGCATTTAGTGAGGATGTCCCAGATCTGACTTGATCATCAAAATGGCTGATGGGCTCGGTGATCTGACCCCAGGAGAAATGAGATGGAAGCTCCAAGAGATTCAATAACGTTTTAAAGGCCACAGTGCCCCAGATGAAATCGCACCACATGGGCGCCCAGTTTATGTGCCACTTTTTCTCTGAATCCTTCTCTGTTCTTTCTGGTTGGGATTGATCTCTCCTTTATGTGTGGGAGGCTTAAGAGAAATTAATATTTTCTAGTCCTGTTTAGAAGTATAGAGACTTGGTTGCACAATGGTTAAGCATTCGGCTGCTAACTGAAAGGTCAGCGGTTTGAACCCACCAGCTGCTTCTCAGGACAAAAGACCTGGCGAACTGCTCCCATAAAGATCACAGCCTCAGAAACCCTGTGGGGTAGTTCTCCTCTGTCAGTTGGGGTCACTGTGAGTCAGAATCACCTCTACAGCACACAACAGCCTTTAGAAATATAAGTTCTAGTGTATAAGTGAGGTAAAGAGAGAATAGGTAGTGAAGGATATCACCCAGGACCTCAGTTACTCAGTCAGTTAGGACACCCAGTGAGCTGTTTCAGAGAGTTCATTGCTGTCACATGGGGTCGCTAGGAGTCGACAGCACCTGACAACAGTAACGTGCCTAAAAGAGTATATCACATTTCAGAGCGTTCATTGCCCACACACCCCGGCCATCTGCCTGCATCACAGAAGATTTGACTTGGGCGAGACGGTGGGGAGCTTAAATGAACAACTTTTAGGTCAGTTTTTTCCAAATTTCTTCTTTATCCTTGGTTTACACTTTTCCAGATGGCCCTGCATCTGAAGTACCAGCAGAGGGCGAAGAGATCTTCTGCTGACCTGCTTCCTCTCTGCTGAGGCAGCCGCCTCCTGCTCTGTGCTCACCAGCTCCCTCTCCCACTGTCCCTGTGTGCGCTGGCCTCTTACGTGTACACCCACCCATCTCCAGTGCCGAGTCCTTCTGTGCTTCCAGGTCCTGGATGAGAAGGAGCGAATGGGCTGGAGTGTCCGGGTGGAGAAGGAGGCCCAGACTGCTTTGGCCATGATTTGAGACTGCCGAGGGCACAAGGGCGGGGGCTGGCTTTATTAAGGATGTTACACTGCAAGTGGCTACCCCCAAAGTACCGGTGATGGTTTTGGACACCGCAGGAATTTCTACCCCTAAAGGCTAAAAGAATGTTTCCCAGTGAGGTCTAAGCCTCTGACACTCTTTCATTTAACGGGATACAACCAAAATGAAGCAGTTTGGACTTGTTCTGTACACAGGGGGGTTGTCAGAGTTAACGCACAGTCTGCAGCAGACGTCTGGCCAGCTTCGCTCAGCCCAAGAGGGACCTCCTGGCACCAGTCAGGTGCATGCGGATGTTAAGTATTTCACATGGTAGTTCTCAGAGTTTGGTTTCCCTTTACGCCCTCCCAGGGCACACTTCACCTCTTCTTTTGCATGTATTTCCCATTTCATTTTAGAGGGGATGACAAACATTTGTGAAAGCCAGTAAGAAAAGACTTGGTGTGTGTAAGAAGCATAGGAGCTGTACCACCTTGATCTCGGTGTTTCAGGTACTTCAAAAAAGTATCTAATTTCATCATCAGATCCTGAAGAAATCATATATTGGCCTTCCAAGATTGTTCCCACCTATTCTGGGCACAGATGAGGTAGAGAGACCCCTGTGGTTTGTCACTTTCTGGTTGTCACTGACCATTCAGAAGTGGCCGCGGCCTTTTGGCAGTCTTCCTGAGCCCAGTCACAGTCCCCCACAGGCCCTCTCTAGGGGAGCACACCTCCACTCCCGTTACTCCCCAGCCTGGCTGGCCCAGCTCCTGATGTTCCCACCACTGTCCCAGGACAACTGGCTGAGAAGTAGGTCTGGGTGAAGGTGTTACACCCTTGTGTACGGGTTTCCACCAGTACAGACCGAGAGAAGAGCTGGACCAGAAGGTGGGGCTGGGGAAGTTCTCATTCTCCTTCAGGAGGCCATGGCAAAATTGGCTTTTTTACACCATTTAAAACCTCTGAAGGTCTGCTGATAATTAGTTGTACCCTACCCCTGTGAGGATGTCACAAATGCTGCCCTGTTTTTTGTTTTGTTTCCTTTTCTCTTCTCCCTCTTTCCGCTTTGTGTTGGTCTTCATTTGCTTGAGACTTCTACCCAGCTGGTTTGTGCGGGTCAGTTCATCGGTGATGTTCTCTTGTGAACGACAGCAGCCTCTGAGAGCCCCTCTCCTTGCTGCACTCGGCACTGATCATGAGGGGAGACCATGGGAAATTCTGTGCTTCACTTGTGGCCTTTGACTCCGCGTTTTGCCCCTCAGGCACATGGGGCTTTGAACCGTACTTTTAAAAAACAAACGAAAAAAATCTGTAACATGGTGCTTGTTGATGAATTGCAAGCTGGCCTTGCAGATGGAGACATTTATCTTTCAGTTTATTTGAAAGAGGTCTGGTTTAAAATTTTTAGCGTAGATTTGTTTTATTTATTTTGTGTGTGTATTGTTTTCAGGATTATCATACTAGCCCAACGGTTTAGACTAATCAATGCAGACTGAGGTGGCAGCCAGCACCTCTTCCTCCTCAGTGACTTTCCAAGTGCCTGGATGGCCCAGATGAAAAGGAAGGGCCAGGGGCGGGGTCTGTACCCTTGCCCCGACTCCCACCCACCTCGGTCTTTTATGAAGGGATGTCTTCTTGCTTGTTTGAGAATTCAAGAAACTTGCCACCTGTGAGTTACATTTGCCTGTTTTTGTCTTGGAGTTTTCTTTCCCATCAGAAATAGACTTAAAAACAGAATTGGCTGATTTTCTTTTGGAACCATGATGCACCCCTTGCCCCCCATCAAGACCCTAAACAGCAGAAAGTTAAGTTGCTTCCTCCCACCACTCCTTACAACTCCAAGTTACAGCTAACCCTGTTATGGCTTCCGTCTGCTCTGCCCCAGAGCCTAGCGGGAAGGGCAGTATTGAATCAGACTGGCATGTCGCCTTCCTCTGCAGGCGAGGGGCGGGTGACCCTGTTCTCCAGGTTTACACCAGTGCGGGGTGAGTGCTGACGAGCTGAGCGCTGCCCTCACACAGCTTCTTGCTGTGGAGACGGTTTAAGTTTCTGTACACTGCTGCACAGCTCAATGTGGACTTTAAAGTGTCTCTTACTCCCAGCTATCATGTGTAATTTGTTTGGGTGGTGGTTTTTAAAAATGGAGATTTCACCTCCACCCATACCCCACTAATTGAAAACCATTTGGTCAGGTTCTAGTTGGACAATCTTAGAATCAGAACTTTCTGCATTCGCCCAAGCTGCATTCAGGAATCTCATCAGCGGTGGAGAAGAGAGCCACTTTCCTCGAACTGTGCTTTTGTGTCGTACAAGTGTCATCTCTCTCCACCTTTGGAACTGAACCCAGTGGGATTGCATTGTCATGCTTCGGGAATTCCCTGGGATTGTCGCTGCCTGTGCTTCTGCTTGTGACCTTGAGGACTGTGCTGGTTACTGAGTCTACAGCCCTGTTGCCTTTCTCCTCCGTGAGAAGGGGTAGTTGTCTTGGTTGTGACTCAGATCCAATTCCCTGGTGTCTTTCTCCATGCTGGGAAGCCATGTTTCTCCACCAAGCTGGAGAAATCAGATTCCTGAAATTGTGCTGAAGTTTTGGAGGGTGGTCGGTGACACTCCCCTAGAGCCCTAGAATCTCGCAAACCCCATGGAAGGAGATGTGTCTTCCCTCAAGTCCAATCATCTCAGTGTTTCATCCCAGGGGTGACGTGCACTTTAGTTGCTCTCGTAAGTTGGCTTCATTTCTGAGACAAACATACTGTTTTCTTCTTTGAAAACGGAGAGAGTTAAGAACAAGCGAATTGCCATAGATAATTCAACCTTTGCCAACATTCCATCCTGCCCCCATGAGAGCTCTCTGTGAGAAAGAAATCCCTATTAAGACTCTTTTTTTTTTTAAGGTACGAATCTTACCTTTTTTTTCTCTCTTATGTCTCAGGGTGATACCACTAAAAGTTGTTCCTTTGCTAATTTTCTTCCTTTTTGTTATTTCGCGAGGCCTCAGTATCAGTGGTAAGCACAAACTTTTGTGACCCTTCGGATTTTGTTTGTACCTTTATTTGAGAGGGTGGGTATTATCATGTAGGGGTTTAATAGAATAGGCCCTTCCTTAAATGAAGGGTGAAACCATAACCTTATAGGCCAGAAATTGCTATCCATCGGAGTGCTTTATATTTCATTCTTTTGTCTCTAAGATTCTTTTTTCACATAGCCAGTTCTTTCTTGCCAAGGATTTAGTATTTGCATGGAAGCTGAAGTGTCTTCTAACATTGCGGTGTGGCCAGCTGTGTCCCAAGGATAGCCAAGCCCAGCTTCCTAGCCAAGGCAGTCCTGATGAATGGGCTTCCATGGCCATAAAGAAGGTGGCTGTGAGGTGACAGAAGACAGTGCAAAACTGTTTGACCCTGCATGCTTGGACACCCTGTGAATCTGGAAGCCTAGAAAACCCCTGTAGATGAAACGGTAGTGACAGCTGGCGGAGAGCTGTGTGCCTTGCTCCCTCCAGCAGGGCCACCTGGACATCTGCTGAGGCCCTGGGGGTTGTGTCCCAGCCTTGCACTGCTGCCCTGATGTATCCTCAGAGACAAGAAAGCAACGAGTTGTTTGATTCTTTTTTTTTTTTCTTTTTCAATCTAGCATAACATTCCTCGTTATCTAGAGTTTTGGAATCTACTGCCTGCTGGCCAGGTTTTTAAAATGAAAAGTATTTTAATGCTGCCATAAAAGGAAAAAAAAAAAAAAAAAAGGAAGCGAAATCAAAGGTATCCTTCCGTGTACTTATCTAATTTAATTTGTCAAAAGATTGACAGGCCATGAATTATTTCTCCATCTCGCTAAGGTTTAAAGACGGGCAAACCCCACTGGCTAAGAGCTCTCCTGCCAAGTGCATTGCAGCCTGTTCTAGAAATCCAAGCTGAAACCCAGCCTGTGCTGTGGGCTCCTGACCACCAAACTTACCAGGAACCAGAGGGCACCTGCCACTCCCTCACTTATGCGGAAAGCACAGCACTGCCTTCACTCCGATTTTCACCCAGCTTAACCTTCCCTGTACCTTTTGTGACCATCCGTCAGGGATGGACAGTGCAAAAGCAACCGACCAGGGACACACGTGTTCAGTGAGTTTGCCTGTAGTTGAAGTTTAGCCTTGTGGTTTCCTGTGTTTTGTGTAACCCATGTAGGGGGCACTCAGTGTAAGACGCTAGGACGTGCAGGAGGGTGATTGTACACCTCATACCTCTGCTTTCATGTTTTGTTTTCAAATGCTATATGAACATTTCTGTGCTAAATTCTATTAAAGAAAGAGATGGGTTAAAACCCACATGCTGTATATTAATTTGTAATTATGTACAAAGTGAAGCAGTTTTAAACTGTAAAGATTTTTTTCAGTGTGTTTTCTGGAATTTTGCCATAACATACTGGCTTTGTATTTTATTTATCTTCCTTTCTAGTTATCAGCTTCAAACTCTTGTAAAGTCCCCCTCAAACCCTTTCAAAAAAAATAAATAAAATTCTTGTCTCGATTGTTGCTGTGATTTATTCTTGTCCCTTTGGGCTTCTTTGAGAGATTCCCAAGATATTCTGGGTTTCTGGAAAAGGTGATGTGTCCCCGCCCCCCCCCACCCCTTTATTCTGAGGGGAACCTTCTCTCCAACGCTGCCTCCATTAGAGAAATGTTGATTTCTGTACATGCAGGAACAGAAGTTTCCCTGGGGGGTCCTAAGAATATTCTTACTCTACCCTGGAGTTTAGACCCCAAACCCTGAGGCTGATTGATTAATTTCCTGGAAGTCACAGAATTTTTGCAAAGCCAAAACTGTTTCTAGATAAATCCGTGCAGGAGTTTGCTATAGATTCTAGTATGTCAAAAAGGTTAATGTTTGTTTTTCATTGTCAACTTCTCCTCCCACCCCACCTCCAAACAAGACCAACTGCCAAAAGCTAATTCAGGAAGAAAACGCTGTTTGCAGGTAGCTCCATAAGGATGGACTGGACCTGATCTCAATGCAGGGTCCGCTGTAGAATGGAAATATGCAGGACAAATGGTTACTGACCTGCCTGCAGGAACTGTGGCTTCCTCTCCTAAACTGCTGACTTCCTACTTCCCCAAGTCTGCCCTTACTGTACCTAGAAAAAGACCCTTAAATCCAACTGGATGCTGGAGAGCCGTGCAGCGTGGTGTAATGCAAAGAACATAGGCAAAGCTGGGATCCAGTCCCAGGTCCCTGCCTCCCCTCTCCCCAACCCAAGTGCACAGAAGAAAGCCTTGGCACAGTGCCAAGTCGCTTCCCTTTTTCTGTAAACTTGGAAGTGCACACATTTCTTCACCGAGCCTTTTGTAGCCCTGGCAATAGTTGCCTCCCTGCGAGCCAGAGAAACACTGGTCTCTTTTCACCCACTCGATACCCTTTGCAGCCACTGCAGCTCCTATGCCTCTGAATAGCCCTGCTTGGCCTGGCTCAGGGTAGCATCCAGTCCCCCAAGACACCCTCAGCAGGGCAAGAAGAGTAATTCCCACAGCCTCCTTGACTCTCCACTGTGGTTGGTTCTGAGCCAGGGGTAGGGGAGCTGCTCTCTGGGATGCCTGAAGACCGAGAAGGTTCCATCCTTCTCTTCCAGAAGAAACGCAAAGGCACAAAGCACAGACGGCTCCCAGAATCCTAGATGCCATTCCCTGGGCACATTGAGCTCTACCAGCTCCTGAGGGAAACTTGTGCCCAGAGCCTTGGCTCCACACAAAACTAACCAGGTGGTTTCTGTAAAATGGCAGCTTTCTGTTTGAGGCCCCTGCCCCACCCACCCCCAGGGAGAGCCTGTGGGCTGTGGCAGCCACCTATTTATTAACTGGCTTAGGTGGGTCTGCAGCAAAAGCTCTGCCCAGAAAGAAAATGCAGGTAATAATCCAACAAAACAGAGATCTGAACCAGAATACAGGAAGAAAACTAGGAAGCTGCAAAAACGGGCCAGGCAAGGGTCTGCAGATGAGGGAAGAAATGCAGGCTGAGTTCCTCCTTGGATGTGGAACCCAGGCGGGCGGAGATGCCAAAAGGGCAGTTGCTGCCCAGTCGACTCCGACTCATGGCAACTCATGTGTCAGAGGAGAGCTGTGCTCCACAGGGTTTTCAGTGGCTGATTTTTTTATAGATCACCAGGCCTTTCTTCTGAGGCACCTCTGGGTGGATTCAGACAGCCAGCCTTCCGGCTGCAACATGTTTAACCATTTGCACCCCCAGGGAACTGCCAAACTCAGCTGCAGAGTATTAGAAATAAGATGGGGAACTCCTTCCACGGAGGACGACCCGTCACCTCCCACTAGTGCAGCCTGGGGACTGTCTATTCCTGCACGCTCACCACAGTTCTCAGGAGATTTTGTTGTCCTTAAAACAGCCCCCCTTTCTTCAGGTGCATAGCCTCAAGGTTCTAGCCCTGCTCCCCAGAGGGTGTCCCTGAGGCCTGAGAGGAGTCGTATGGGATGGGGGGCAGGGAGGAAGTAGGGATTTGGGAAGAAGTGTGCCCCAGATTTCAGGAATGTGGGTCACAGGGCCCCACTGCCTTCCCTCTGTGCCAGTGTGGTGCCCATGACCCGGCTCCTCCCCCACCCCCCACACAGTCCCTAGCAGCGCTTAGTATCCCAGTTACAGCCTCGACTCTTCCCCAGGCCCCTGCCTGGCCTCCCTCTTTCATATGCTAATTGATTGCTCAACACAGCTATTAATAGTCCAGCCGAAGTTTGGGCTACTCCTGCCAGGCGCCTTTGTGAAACTTTCCTTCTTCCTGGGAAACTCTGTCTGGACCCGTCGGGGGTGGGGACCCAGGACAGCACACGTGGGAGAATTGGCATGGGGGAGGGGAGCTCCTAAAATGCCTGCTTGGAACGCACTAGCTAAGAGCCAGCTGCTTTTCTTCGCCTTCCTCCCTCAGCTCCCCCTTCCTTCAAGTGGTCCTGAACTCCCTTCTCCACTCCTCCACCGCTCCCAGCCCCGCTTCGGAGCTGGAGCTGGGCGGCCGCCTGGACACCCTCACTTCTTTGCTAGCCTGGCCTTGGAACACCGGTCATCTGACACAACGCTTCCTGCACCAACGCAAGCCCGGCCGGGGCGTGAGGAGCTGGGTGGGGGGCAAGCCAAGGTCCCACTCTATCTGGGAGGACTGTGGACAAAGGCGGTGGAAGCGTAGGGGAGCAAAACAGTGAGCACAGGCTCTGGACCAGAGAGCCTGAGCCCACACTCCACCCTGCCATGTCATAGCTGAGCAACCTCGGACAAGCTACTTAACCTCTCTGTGTCTCCTCTCTTTCAGAAGGTGGCGATATCTGCCTTGCAGACTATGATGATTAGATGCGATGAGGAATATTTATTGCTGGAGACAGGGCCCAGCAAACACTTCTTAAAGCACGCTAGCTGCAGAAGCTGCCTGTCATGGCAGTGGTGGTGGTGTTTGTTGTTGTGGCAGCTGCTGTTGAGCTGGGCTAGCTCATGGCGACCCCATGCACAATGGAACGAAACACTGCCCAGTCCTGTGCCATCCCCATGACTGACTCGTTGTGGATTGGACCATTGGCTGATTTTCATAAGTAGATCTCCAGGCCTTTCCTCCTAGTCTGTCTTAGTCTGAAAGTTCCACTGAAACCTGTTCAGCATCATAGCAACACACAAGCCTCCACTGACAGACGGGTGGTGGCTGCTCATAAGGTGCATTGGCTGAACCCGGGTCTCCCGTGTGGAAGGCGAGGATTCTACCATTGAACACGGCCATGCCCAGGCCACATCTGAGACAGATTACATCAGGGTTTTTGGGGTGGGGCCCAGGCATCCAGATTTTTACTGCTCCCCAGGTGATTCTGGCATGTAGCTGAGGTTGGATGATGCTACTCAGCCCTCATCTTCTCTCCCAGCCCCTGATCCAGAGCTTCCCTTTACATGGAGCCAGCTCTGTGTCTGATGAAAGCCTGAGTTTTGTAGACCCAGGGCTCCAGGCCCGAAGGATGACATCTCCTTGGGGCTTTGGGTCCCACCGGCATCTACCAAGCAGCAGAGTAAACATGAGGCAGAAGGGGACAGAAGCAGTGCCCAAAGGAGGAGCAGAGTCCCAGAGGGACTGGTCCTGGGCGTGAGAAACAATCCAGGGGCCTCCAGAAGCAATAAGGGTGGTGGGCCGAGAAGACAGGGGCACCCATCCCACTCTGGTTGGGCTGGGCCAATCTCTGCTAGCCCACGCATTGCCTGCAAGTCCCAGATTCTGGTGCCAACCTCTAGCCAAATTACCCCCAGGATGCTAGACCGTCACCTCCCCCAGCTCCAGCCCCACCTGCCCTTTCATGCCCACAGCCTCTCCCATCCACCCTTTCTCCCAGACTGGTATCAGACACTCCTCTGCAAGGGTATGGTCTTAACGTTTAAGCTGTGTTTGTTATTTAATATTTAATTCGTGTTCCCTGAAGAACACATGGGAAATACTGAGATTTATTTTTAAACACTTTTAAACACCTATTAAAAAAACAAACAAAACCCATTGCCATTGAGTCGACTGCGACTCATAGCGACCCTGCAAGACAGAGCAGAACTGCCCCATAGGGTTTCCAAGGCTGTAATCTTTATAGAAGCAGACTACCACATCTTTCTCCCGTGGAGCGGCTGGTGGGTTCAAACTCCCTACCTTTTGGTTAGCAGCCAAGCGCATTAACCACGGTGCCACCAGGCTTCCCTATAATCCCATCACCCAGAGCAAACTATCAATTAACATTTCATTGTTGTTGTTAGGTGCCATGGAGTCAGTTCCAACTCATAGCAACCCTATGTGCAACGAGACACTGCCCGGTCCTGTGCCATCCTCACAATTGTTGCTGTGTTTGAGCCCATTGTTGCAGCCACTGTGTCAATCCATCTCATAAAGGGTCTTTTTCACTGACCCTCTACATTATCAAGCACAATGTCCTTCTCCAGGGACGGGTCCCTCCTGATAACATGTGAGAGGAAGTCTTGCCATCCTCGCTTGTAAGGAGCACTCTGGCTGTACTTCTTCCAAGATGGATTTGTTCATTTCATTAACATACCCAATGTTTTCTGTGTATACATGTGTCTTAGGCTGGGTTCTCTAAAGAAGCAAAACCAATAAAGTGCATAAGTATATATATAAAGATTTATATCAAGGAAATGGCTCACGTGGTTGTAGAGGCTGGAACGTCCCAAGTCCATGGGTCAGGACAGAGACTTCTCCTGATTCACGTAGCCACAGGGGCTGGTGAACCCAAAATCGGCAGTTCAGAGAGCAGGGCTCTTGCTCACAGGCTGTGAAAATAGAGGAATCCCAAGATCAGCAGGCAAGATTGTAGGTAAGCAGCTAGTGCAAGTCCCAAGAACCGGAGGTCAGACGAACAGGAGCCAGCTGCAGGAGCCAGCGCGAGCAAAAAGCCCATGAGCCTTGCCAAAATGTCCACTTACATTCAATGCAGGCCACACGCCCAAGGAAATTCCTTTT